GAAGGAGAGAGACACAGAGATAAAAACATCAGAGAAACATCGATGTGAGAGAGAAACATCTATTGGTTGCCTCCTGTACACACACCGACCGGGGCCAGGGATCTAGCCTGTAACTAAGGTACATGCCCTTGACTGGAATTGAACCTGTGACCATTCAAGACCTCTGGCTGACACTCTGACCACTGAGCCAAACCAGCTAGGGCAGGTAAAATTTATTTTAATGACACATTTAACCCAATGTATCCAAAATAGTATCATTTCAACATATCAATATAAAAGATTATTGATTATATTTTGTACAATATAAAGTGAATCTTACATTTAGGGCTCATCTCAGTTCTGACTAGCCACTTTTCAAGTGCTCAGTGGGTACCCATATTTGCAGTTCTAGACAATTGGGTCTGTATTTACTTGTGCATGTGTGTGTGTGTGTGTGTGTGTGTGCGCGCGCATGTGTAGTGAGCATCTGCGCTTCCCACCCTCAGAAGGCAGGACTCCCTGAACTGCTGTTTCCCTGCTTTATCAGCTGAAGGAGCTGAGCCTCTCACCCCACTGGCACTCGGGGAGTTGTTCAGATCCCATGCATGCTGGAGTTCACAGCAGATTTAGTCCTTCAGAGCCCTTTCCAGCATAGAATTCAAACCCTGAAGTTGCCCTGAGAGCAGGCCTAGTCTTGGAGAACTGAATCCATGGCTGGTTATTGTTTTGTTAGTTGAGCTTGTAGACAGTTTGCCCAAGTTGTCCTGAAGCATCTTCCTCAGTAATCCTCTGTGTCAGCAGTTGCCAACCTTTCGGATCTCACGGACCACCAGTTGGCGACCACTGCTCTGGGTAATCAGTTCAGTAAGCATTCAGAGGACTAGCTGCACACGGGGGCAGCCTGTGTTGTAATGTTACACACACAGGCTGTAATCTGCCGAAGGAGCACCCTTTGAACTTGTGGTAGTCATTTGAAATGTGAAAACAAAAAGGTAGTCTTGGAAGTTTGCTCTGGAGAAGCCAAGTGCTATTTCAGAATCTCCAGCCTGCCCTTCCCTGTTGTCCTGCTATCTTATTTTCATGGCTTGGTGCACAGCACAAAGTTCAGGTTGACGCGAAGTGCCAGCCTAAGCAGTTGCGGTCTCCTAACCTATATAGCTTTTCTAGACACAGGAGAGGTGACTAGGCTGTTCCAAGTACATGCTTACCCTGGACAGCAAGGGGCCAAATTACTGTCTTCCCAGTAGCCTCAGGGAAGCTAGTTATTGATTCCAAAGGGAAGATTTGGGAATTAGAGGGAGACAGCAAACTTAGGAGTGAAATAAAAGGGCAGAATCCCTCTCTTTAAAATTGGAAATCCTACACATCATAGAAAATCCTGGGTTGTCTAAGAGGAATGCACTGCCTTCTACCCACTTTTGTACAACATGAGCATCCTGAACTAATCATAGTGGGCAGGAGAAAACCACACATCTGATGTAGCAAGAGTCATGAGATGACTGTTGTGGAGCTGGAGGCAGGGTGGGTTCCATTAGGGCCACATGGCAGCTCTACATTGGGTGTTTTTCCAAAGTAAAATCGGTCAGGCACCCCACGAAAGCCCACTATCCAAGCCCATGAAAGCCTAAACCCCTGGGCATCGGATTTGCTTTCTTGTTCTCCACAGCATCTAGCACGGTGCCTTGTCAAATATTTGGCGAATTCAAGGGTAAGTTTGACAACATAGATGGCTGGCTGGCGGAGGAAGCATTGTCCAGTGTAATCCACCAGTCAGTAAACGGTATTGTCAGATCCTTTTCCTATCTTGGTGGCATAAAGAGCTAGAGGGCAAAGGGGATCCACCAGTCAGTAAACAGGGTATTGTCAGATCCTTTTCCTATGTTGGTGGCATAAAGAGCTAGAGGGCTAGAGGGAATCAACCCAAAAGGGACCAGGAAGTGGGGTGGCCTTCCCCTGAAGAACACAGGGAGGCACCAATCCCCAGAAAAGCAGCCTCAGGAAGATCCCTGTTCCGGGTCCACCCCTCTCCTGTGGTCTGCTTCCTAGGGGTGGGGTTTTGTTGTTTTGAACATGATGGGCTTAGATATAATGGAGCCTTGTTCCCAACCATGTCATGGTTCCGAGCTGCCCTTTTAGCTTCTATCCACAGGAAGGCCTCCAGTCATTTGGGAGGAGTTTCCTGGGCTTCCGATCTTTCTCTCCACTGCTCTTCAGTCATTGCACCAGAGCTTGGACTCTGCAGGCTTTGGGGAGAAACCTGCTCTGTTGCTTCCTCTCACTGATTCTGGCTGTGCAGGCCGCCTCTGGTTCCTCAGGTACCCAATACCCAGTAAGCAGGTTCTCACTGAGAGGGAGGTATGCATGTCACTCTAGCAGGAAGTACTAGATTAATTTCATTATCCAAGCCAAATCAGCCTACTCTGACCCCCCCCCCCTCCACCCCATCCCAATTACTTGGTAAGAAACTTGATCCATCATAATTGTGGCCCCCAGCTACCTCCATGGTCACGAGGCCTGGGGGTGTAAGCCAGTGGGAAAACATCTACCATTCCTCACCACGCGAGACTTAGCAATTATAATAGACTTTCTTCCCCATTGAAATAACACCTCATACCACCTAACTTCAGCCTTAGTTGCTTCCAAGGCACTTTCCTGTGGCTCCTCCCACCTCATACCTTCTCACCATCCAGTGGCTAGAGGCCAGGACCCCTTAAAAGTCTCTATCCCCAGGGCTCTGCCCTCTCCCTGAACACTCCCCAGCTCCTGTGATGACCCCTCCCATAAGATGTGTCTCCAGCCCCGGACAGTGCCCTTCCTGAGCTCTGGGCCCAAATCTGCACTTAGACATCCTAGACTGAGTTTCACACTGTCTATGCCTGAGCCCCTGCTCCCTGCATCCACCCAGTCACCCTGAGCCAGTCTTCCCTCCATCCCCTTTTGTCTCTGAATTCCATCACTCCTGCACCCTCTGGGCCTCTGTTCAGGCCCTCATTGCTCCTAACCAGGACTTGTGCCCAGTCTCTGCAGGACAGTGCCTCCTGTATCCTCCCACACCACTGCCCCTGCTCAGTGCCGCCCGGGGGTCAGACACAGTGCTGACCTGCAGGACTCCTGGTGTCTTCCTGCACTGCAGTCTGACTCACTGCTCATCCTCACGCCTCATCCCCACACAACCACAGTCAGTGCTTCAGCTGCATTGAACTTCCTGCTTCTGGGATTTTCTGAGCCTTTTCTACCTCCAGGCTTTTGCACATGAGTGCTGCCCTCCCTCCCTCACCTCCTCTTCCAGGACCCTCTGGGGTCCCCAGTGGGGAGGCTTTCATGGCTTCAGCCCTACCTTTGCTGAAGGCCCTTCTCCAGCACTCTGCAGTGTGGAAGGGTGATCTGACTGCCCGCCCATCTCCTTCATGTCCTCCTCAGGCCCAGAGGCTACCTTGTGGACTGATGTCTTCCCAGCACCTGCTGTGTTCCTAGCGGGAGCAGCTACCCAGGGAATGCTGAGTGAAGGCCCCTGACAAAGCCTGTTTCATCTTCAGTGATTCAAGGCTGGACAGTTGCCAGAAGTTGTAGCTGGTTTTCCTGCGCCCACTTCTCCCCACCCCATCCACCCTGGTCATTGCCATTAGACCAGTGGTTCTCAACCTTCCTAATGCCGCGACCCTTTAATACAGTTCCTCATGGGGACCTTTCAGTCCATAGGCCTACGCTCTATCCCCTGAGCCAAAGTGGTTAGGGCAACAATAGGTAAATATATATGTGTTTTCCGATGGTCTTAGGCAATCCCTGTGAAAGCGTCGTTTGACCCCCACAGGGGTCGCGACCCACAGGTTGGGAACCGCTGCATTAGCCAGTTCTGCCAAATCATCTTGCTTAAAAATCTTCAGAATAAAATTCCAGGCCCTTAGCCTGGCCCAAAGCCTTTCGAACTCTGCCCCCAAACCTGCCCCACCTTCTTCCTCCACCCTCCACCGCACAGACGCTGCTGGGAGGAGCTCCCCCGCCACTCCGCATTTTCTTCTGTGTGCCATCTAGCAAGTTATTCTTTCTCATATACCTGCTTATTTAATTGCTGAATCAGTAGTACAGGTAAGAGTGCTGTTCCTGGCACACAGAGACAGCTCCGTAACAGCTTCTGTTATCGTTGCCGGAAGTCACTTACTACAGGAGGAAGTGCAGTGGATAGGGGCTAAGATGGCATCAGAACCAAAGTTCTTGCTGGAAGTATCACCAGGAGGTATCAGAAAAGGGTGGCATGGGCATCACACGGACCCCACCCGGGGATGGAACCTGCAACCCGGGTACATGCTTTGATTGGGAATGGTGCCGGCGGCCCTCCTGACCCACCTGAGCAGCACCGGCCAGGGCGTCCTCTGCGCTTTTATCCAGGCAGCGCACACCGTTTGTTCTGGACATGGGCACCCTTCCCATCTTGTACCACCGCGGTGTTTCCAGAGTCAGTGGTCCACTCCTGGAGCCCCATGTCCGGTTCCCTGGCCCTGCCCACATCTGAACCCCTTACTTAGGACCCCAGCATGTTGCCCCGCTCCCCCCACGTGGTTCCACACCGTGCACTTCACCAGGGCCCCCAGGACTTGGTCCCCTTTCACTCCACTCCCCGATAGGCCCCCTACTTCACACCTGGGCCCTATTTCGGGCAGCTGACCGCCCGCCCCGAGCCTGGCCCCACACTTGCCGCAATCGTGTTCCGGGACCAGCCGCTCCGCTCGGGGGCATCCCGGACATAGGCGCGAAGGCGGAAAGGGACAGGCGCTCTCGTCCAGGTCTCCTCCTGGCTACCGGGTTCGGACTTGATTTACCAACCTCGTACATCTCCAATCTTACCCTCGCCTGCCTTTGCTCAGCCGCATTCTCAGAACGGCGAGCACACGCTCCTCCGGAAAGCGCCACCGGAGTCCCTGCAAACGCCCTGCCCCGCACACCGGATCCCGCCGCGGAGAGCGACGGTCCCCGGAGCCGCGAGGAGCTCGGACCCGGGGCAGTCCGCGGGGAGGGTTGCGAGGATGCCGAGCAGAAAATGCAATCTGCTGCTTCTCTCGCCGGCCTCCCCGTGGGACGCAGACAAGGAGAACTTAGCACTCCGGGTCCGGGCAGCTCCGTGCTCCGTGGGGACTCTCTTCTAAGCGACAACAGAAACGGGCATTCTCTCCCTGGCCCCAGGTGGGAAAAGGCAGGAAAAAGTGAAACTTCGTGAGTCAACGCGGCGCAGGCCAGCCCGGCCCGTCCCAGACGCGCCGCCCATCGCCGG